AAAACCAAAGATAAAGACAGAGTTTTAAGAGCAGCTAGGGATAAATGAAAAGTCATCTACAAGGGAGACTCAATAAGAATAAGCTCGGACTACTCATCAGAAACCATGCAGGAAAGAAGGCAATGGGATGAAATGTATAAAGCCTTGAAGGAAAAAAACTGCTAGCCAAGAATTATATATCCAGCAAAACTATCTCTCAAATATGATGGCGAAATTAGAGTATTTCCAGATAAACAGAAGTTTAGGAAATTTGCAAAAAACAAACCAAAATTACAAGGAATACTAAAGGGAGTCCTCCAGTTAGAAAATCAGTAACGTTGGATAACAACCCAAGACTAGAACACAGGACAGAGCAACCAGCTATCAGCCCAGATAGGGGAAACACAGAAGTAAATCAAAGCTAAAACACTGAAAACAGGGTAACAGATGTCAATATGTAAAAGATGATAACATTAAAGCAAGAAAGAGGGACTTAAAAATGTAGACAAGATTTTGCATATGGAGAGGAAGTCAAGGTGATATAAAGAAATAAAAGACTGGTATACACTTAGAAAAATAGGGGTAAGTGTTAAGGTAACCAGAAAGGAAACAAACAATCCTACAAGTCAAAATAAAAAACTAGAAAAAAATAAAGACTCAGCAAACACAAAATCAGCAACAATGAAAAAGATGAAAAGGAAATACATGAAAAACAACTTAGCACAGAAAATTAAGTGGAAAAAGAAACTGTGAACAGCACAAAATAAAGAGGACATCAAAATGACAGCACTAAACTCATACCTATCAATAATTATGCTGAATGTAAATGGACTAAATGCACTAATATAGAGACAGTGGCAGATTGGATTAAAAAAACACGATCTGTCTACATGCTGCCTACAAGAGACACACCTTAAACTTAAAGACACAAACAAACTAAAACTCAAAGGATGGAAAAAAATATATCGAGCAAACAACAATCAAAAAAGAGTAGGAGCGTCACCATTAATCTCTGACAAAATAGACTTTAAAGTAAAATCCACCACAAAGGATAAGGAAGGACACTATATAATGATTAAAGGGTCAGTACACCAGGAGGACATAACAATAATAAATATTTACGCACCCAACAACAGGGCTCCAGACTACATAAAACAAACTCTAA